AGAAGCAAGAAAAAAAAAGGTACAGAAAATTTCTGCAAGGAAAATGTTGAAAGGATGCTTAGTTGTGTGGTCTAATTCTTCCACTGTCTACTTCATTTCGTAATCTCTAGACTTAGTGCTTAGTTAAGACTATCAAGTTAAATTCACTAATTTTAATTTCATTTTTTTTATTGTGAACTACTGCTAATTTGACCTTTTCTTTAGAAGAGAAAAGTATTTTGTTGCTGACAACTCTGATAAAAATTTCATTTCAAAACTACCATCTTGAAAATGTTTTAGAGGTTTATTCTTCGTTTCTCATACAATATTCTTTTTTTTTCTTGGAAAATATTAGGTTTCCACAAGAAAGCATAATATTTCTTTGTTTCTAAGATAATTCGAAAACTTTAAACTTTCTTGATTGCTTCTTATTTTCAACAGAATCGCAATACAGAACAGGTATGATGCAGAAATAAAGTAAAAAAATTTAACCAGATTTAAACAAAAACAATTTATAATGATTAAAACTGTTGTTTTACTATTACTATTCTAATAAAGTAATCAACAAGCTAATAATTATTAATACAGTAAACAGAAGGTCATTTGTCGTCAAATTAGTGTAGCACCTTTATATTGTTCAAAACAAACACTAGTATCATCAAAATAAATAAAATCAAATGTAAATTATGTGGAATAGATGCTGCAAAGTTAAAAAATCTTGGTTAATTAAGAGATCATCAAATCTGAAGAATATATTATCACCAGCTGCATATCTAAAATGACATTGCGAGCAATAAGTGGAGTATATATAATACAATAAAGTATAAACAGTTTTTGGTTTACAAGTAAAAGCTAGCAGCCTTACAGAAAATCATCAAATAAAGCCAGATCTCTACCCTTGCGCATATCCCGAGTTTTTCCTTCGACATAAAGAGTTCTTTTTATTTATTTTTTTTTTTGATATAGAAAACAACCAGAAAAAACAAAAAGCTAACTTCTGTCAACCAAACTGCAGCAATGCTGTCTAGTTTTCTTCCAAAGTTGACAACATTCGCAAGTGTTACCAGTTTTAAGTAGTTAAAAAAATTGATCAGAAAAAACTTGTGCAAAAAAAACACAATTCAATCATTATAATATACTATTGATCTCAAAAAAAGAAATCTACTTTTTTTT